AGACAGGATTGTGGCACCGCCCTTAAAACAACAATGCATGGAAGATACATTTTATCTTAACAGTCAAGGACTAGAATTTAAAAAGAAAGGCAATTTGTGGAAGGCTATCCTGGGGCTGGTCTGCGGGATTTGGCTGCCAGAGGCAAAATATGCAGATGCCAGACCCTCCAAGTGTCCCTATTTTCCAGGGAAGTCTCTGATTTAGAGAAGCCGTCCCAGTTTCTGATTGGATCCCGGAATATCCCCCTTTTCCTTAAAGGTAAAGGTAAAGGGACCCCTGACAGTTAAGTCCAGTCGCGAATGACTCTGGGGTTGCGGCACTCATCTTGCTTTACAGACCAAGGGAGCCGACATTTGTCTGCTTCCGCAGACAGTTTTTCTGGGTCATGTGGCCAGCATGACTAAGCCACTTCTGGTGAAGCCAGAGCAGCGCACGGGAACACCGTTTACCTTCCCACCGGAACCGTACCTATTTATCTACTTGCACTGAGTGCTTTTGAACTGCTAGGTTGGCAGGCGCTGGGACCAAACAACGGGGACTCACCTGATCGCAGGGCCTCAAACCGCCAACCTTCCGATTGGCAAGTCCAAGCGGCACAGTGGTTTAAACCACAGCGCCATCCACATCCCTACCACTTTTCCTTAAAGGTATAGGGACCCCTGACCATTAGGTCCAATCGTGACCAACTCTGGGGTTGCGGCGCTCATCTCGCTTTATTGGCCAAGGGAGCCGGCATACAGCTTCCGGGTCATGTGGCCAGCATGACTAAGCCGCTTCTGGCAAACCAGAGCAGCGCACGGAAACGCCGTTTAGCTTCCCGCCGGAGCGGTACCTATTTATCTACTTGCACTGGCGTGCTTTCAAACTGCCAGGTGGGCAGGAGCTGGGACCGAACAATGGGAGCTCACCCCATTGCTGGGATTCAAACCACTGACCTTCTGATCAACAAGCCCTGTGGTTTAACCCACAGCGCCACCCGCGTCCCTCCACTTTTCCTTAGGATGTCCCTATTTTCATTGGAGAAATGTTGGAGGGTGTGGAGTTATCTGATCCCCGAGATGTCTGAAGGCAATCCTGTATGGGGAAGGGTTTTTTAAAAAATAATAATAAAGGTTTTATGTTTTACTATGTCTTAATATGTGTTGGAAGCTCTCCAGAGTGGCTGGGGCAATCCAGTAAGATGTGTGGGGTATAAATGGCTGTTGTAACATTTTTCACATGGAATGAAAGTTGTCCTTAATCAGCAGATCATTCAAATCTAGAGGCACAGCTCATCCCTTCCTCTCTTCTTCCCTAATTGTCGACTACTAAATCTGGCACAAATTTAGCCTTGATCACACTTCCTCCTGCCCAACAAAACAATATTGTGCAGCTCAGAATGATGTTTATCATACTCCCGTCTTTTTTCATATGCAGACTAGAATCTCCACTTCAGCTATGTGCTCTTTATTCGTTTTGAGTACGTGTGTGTTCTGTGGAGATCTGAGAAGGTGGGGCAGCATCTCATGCCCTCCAACATTTCTCCAATGAAAACAGGGACATCCCAGTCCATAATGATAAGTTTACTATTTATTTCATCCAAAGCAGATTGTAATTTACTTGCAGTAAATCCTCACTTTATTCTCGAGTGTGTGTGGTCAGCCTGGACAAGTTGAGAAAAACATTGCCTTGGTTTCAAAGCACCAGTGGAAGAGAGAAAATGTTTCAGAAGCAGGTTAGAAATTACTCTTCTAATCTTCTCAGGCCTTTAAATGCTCTTGCATAAGTGTTTGTAGTCAATATTGTCATTGCAGGCAATATTGCCTTACAGATCAATAAGCTCTGACAGGCAGAGCGGAGGATGAATTATTCGATGCCTTTATCAATGATAAGGAGAAAAGATAGGAAGTTTCACCTGATTTGCCTGCAAGACTACAAATAACACAGGTTTTCACAATGGTAGACAATGATGCAAAGACACACAGAGATGAGCAAAACTCAGTCATGTGGTACAATTGACCCATTACATTAACACACTGTTAAATATAGCAACATTCCTAAGTTATACATCTAGCAGAAAGAATCTATGAGAAAAAATTACATGATTATTGGATTGTTAACAGCTCATTCAGAAATAGCCGATATATGTAGTCCACATGTTGGACTACAAGCCCCATCATACCTGACCATGCTACCTGGGGCTGATGGGAGTTGTAGTCCAAAGATGTGGGCTGTCCCTGCCTTGTTTGATGATACAGCAAAAGAATATATGTGTGGGAGAGAGAGAGAGAGATCTCAAGTATCAAGGGAGAATTGTAGAGCATCTTTCAGGAATTCCTCTTTGTCTCCCATTGTTTTTCCAACTTGGTGCGCCAGAAGTAAACGCAAGAGGGCACTCTTGAGTAATGCTTTGAGATTGTTACATGATGCTAAGGAGAAGACCATATCAAATGTGTTACGCCCAGTGTATTAAGGACTTCATAGCTGTGTTGGCGGGTAAAGTAGTATTTGGAGGACAGGATCCTAGGGATCCTAGGGACGCGGGTGGCGCTGTGGGTTAAACCACAGAGCCTAGCACTTGCTGATCAGAAGGTCGGCGGTTCGAATCCCCGTGACGGGGTGAGCTCCTGTTGCTCGGTCCCTGCTCCTGCCAACCTAGCAGTTCGAAAGCACACCAAAAAAAGTGCAAGTAGATAAATAGGTACCACTCCAGCGGGAAGGTAAACGGCATTTCCGTGCGCTGCTCTGGTTCACCAGAAGCGGCTTAGTCATGCTGGCCACATGACCCTGAAGCTGTACGCCGGCTCCCTCGGCCAATAAAGCGAGATGAGCGCCGCAACCCCAGAGTCGGTCACAACTGGACCTAATGGTCAGGGGTCCCTTTACCTTTACCTTTATCCTAGGGAGTAAGAAACTGTGTGTGGAAAATTGGTTCTCAGTCCTTTGCAGTATTTGACTATGAACTTGCTGAGGGTCTTTGCAAACCCTCTCCTACATATATATTGCCCATCATTTTAAATATTGCTCAGTGGTTTCTCGGACTTCTCAGCTTTATAGGAAAATATTTATTTGTGCCCAGCATACCAATGCCAATAAAAAGATGTTTAACCAAAGCAGCAACAGTTACAGCAGTTGTATTTGAGTTTTGTTTCAGCTCCTGTTCAGGACGTTGTCTTGATTCCTCCTAAATATTACCCCACCACTCTTTGAATGGATTTTTTCATTAGACAAGGCTAATGCCAACATATGGTAATCTCAGTTCTATGCAGTAGAGGCAACAGAGCAATAACAGCTTTATAAGCAAAATTTAATGTAGCAACTGGAGATAGAGGAGGAATCTGCCTTACTCAGATTTCAAAGCAAACTTACCTGATCCAAACCAGGTAGATCATGACCTGGATTAGATCACTGGTCCACTGGCAACTCAAGCTATGTGAATATTTAGGGTTAGCAAAAATGACGGAGGTAATTAGAGGTCAACCCACACAAAAAGCCAAAAAAAAGATTGGCTATGTGTAAGAGATTACATGAAAAAACCATTGTTCGCAAACTATATCCTGGTTATGTTTTGATTAGTTCTTGTAAAGAGTACAAGGGAAAGAGAAAGAATTGGGAGAATAAAACAAAACAAATGAACAAAATAACATAGTAAGAAAAGAATTTGCAAAAAGAAAGCTGCAGTGAGGTGGTGGGAAGTCGCAGGTGGAAAAAGATTTGTACGGGAAAACAAGCATTAAGTTCAGAATCTATGTTGTAAAGAAATCAAGTATATATGTATGTGTACAATTTATATTCAATAAAAATAATAATAATTAAAAATAAATCACTGGTGCACTTCAGATGGCACCTGAACCCAAATTAGCCAAACTTATTTGTTAGGCAGTGCAGTCACATTTATCAGTGGGGTATTTCGAGACGAGGGGCATAGCACCGGCCAATTTCTATTTGCCCCCACTCATTGGTGGAGAGGATGTGAGGGCCTGGCCAATGGAAGAGAAAGGCCGTGACCTTCCCTCTCACCCCTCCTCCATGTGGAGAGTGTGTTAACGTACTACATGCTATGTAAAGGTCAAGTCATATCCTCCAACATGACACTGAGGAAAACCGGGATGGGCGTCTTTCTGGTCCTCATTGTCGCGGAAGCCAGGAGACTCGTGAAAGAGCATGGTTCCTTAAAACGGGTGCGTTTGGGGGCTGTGCCCTCATGGGAGCCAAAATGGGACATTGTGGGATCCAATAAGAAACTGGGATGGCTTCTGTCAATTCTGGGATGTCCCATGTAAAGCAGGACAGTTGAGGGATATGTCAAGTTGATAGATTCCACCTGAAAAAATAGACTTTCCATATGACATAAATTGGGAATAGCAGAGAGAAAATAAATACTTTGGGGCTATTTTGCTTAACTCTTCCTTGAGGGTCCCTCTTTCTGGCCTTGCTCCTGATCTTTAAATTGTCCTTCCTGAGAAAACATGTTTGCAAAATTGGTGGGAGAAATTTGCTCTCTACTTCCCTTGCATTTGAAAAGAAGGGGGACTAGGTTTCATCAAAGGTGTCTTTATAATACCTTTTGCTACCCTTCTTAGTTGCTCTGAAACAGTCACATCTCACGCCATCTCTTAAAGCACATTACTTTCCCCAAAGAATCCTGAAAACTATAGTTTAATCCCTCATACAGCTATAATCTAAGGTTACCAGATTTTTTTCAACGAATCTGGGGACACTTTAAATACATACATACATACTACACGTTTGGGACGTTGATGCTGCAGTGATGACGGTGGCAGAGGGGCGGCCGCCGCCTTGACCTCAACCACCATGTTTCCCCTTCCTCCGAGGCTTCTATCTCCTTTCTCCATGAGCCTGGGCAGCCCCTGAGTTGTTGGTTCTTCAGTGGTGGTGGGGAAGCAGTGCGCAGTGGGTCAGGCATGGAAGGTGGAGGAGGGCCGAGAGTGGTGGCGGCTGTGAGGCTCGGGCAGCGCAATGCCTCCCTTCCCATCGGAGTAGCCTCAATCCCATTCCTACTTGCATGCAAGCAGGAGGGGGCGGGGATCCCTCAGCTGGGAGGGGAGACTTCCGGTTGCCTAACTGAGAGATCCCTGCCCCCTCCTGCTTGCATGCAAGCTCTGATAGGCAGCGTGAAGCGTCCCTTCACAGCTGAGAGATCCCCGCCCCAGCCCTGCTTGCACGCAAGTAGGAGTTGGGAGGCTGCTCCGATAGGCAGCATGAAGCCTCCCTTCACAGCTTTGTTGCTGGGGTCAGGGAAGGTGGAGGCAGCCCGGAAGCTGCATCTTAGAGCTCCTGCACCACCATCATAAGGGGACTTCCAAGCTGCTCCTGAAGCCAGCCAGAGCCAACTGCTCCGGGCTGCTGAGACTGCCGCTGCTGCGTTTCCCAGGGACATTAGATGAAATCCGGGGACATTCCGGGGATGGAATTTGTCCGGGGACTTATTCGCAAATCCAGGGACTGTCCCTGGGAAACGGGGACATTTGGTAACCCTACTATAATCTCCAGCACCCTTAACAAACTACAGTTCTATGCATTCTTTGGAGGAAGCCATGTGCTTTAGATGTGCTCTAAATGTTTGGTGTGTAAACCACCACAGGGAGGGAGACTGAATGGAACTGGAGGTGGTGGTTATAAAGCTAAACACATATGAGGGCTGCACAGGTTAATCTGTCTGCAAGTTGTGATACAGGGCTGTGGGTTTGCTGTTTGTAGGAGTCCTATTCTGTCTGTCTCCACCTACGCTCATTTGCACATGTGTGGCACTGTGGGTTAAACCACAGAGCCTTGGACTTGCCGATCAGAAGGTCGGCGGTTTGAATCCCCGCAACGGGGTGAGCTCCTGTTGCTCGGTCCCTGCTCCTGCCAACCTAGCAGTTCGAAAGCATGTCAAAGTGCAAGTAGATACATAGGTACTGCTCCGGCGGGAAGGTAAACGGCATTTCCGTGCGCTGCTCTGGTTCGCCAGAAGCAGCTTAGTCATGCTGGCCACATGACCCGGAAGCTGTCTACAAACGAACACCGGCTCCCTCGGCCTATAGAGCGAGATGAGCGCTGCAACCCCAGAGTCGGCCACATGACCCGGAAGCTGTACACTGGCTCCCTTGGCCAATAAAACGAGATGAGCGCCACAACCCCAGAGTCGGCCACGACTGGACCTAATGATCAGGGATCCCTTTACCTTTACTTTACATAAACACCCAAAAAATTCCACAAAGACCTGAAGTCTCCGGTTATCTCTTCTCCCCAATGACTCTAAATCCAGCACTGCTCCTTGAACTGTCTATCTGGGGAAGTAGGACATGTGTAACTATATTTGTAAGATTCAGAACCAACATATGTATGTTGTACTCATAAGTGGACAAAGACAGCAAATATGCAGATACAGTAGACTGAAACATCTGTCTTAGATAAGAAATGAGATTAGAATAATCTGATTTAAAACTGCACCAATAAGCTAACAGAAATAATTTATTATTTTTTGAAGGATTTCTAAATAAATACCGTTCTGTTGACCCTACCTTCAACTTCAGCCCCCTACTATCAACTTCAGAAGGATTATATCAGAATAAACTCATTGGTTGTTACTGCTTGAAGGCAGACCACTGTTACCTAGCAACTAGGAAGAGTGCAGCATTGTGCAATTAACTCTTTCAGGTCTTTTGGAGCACAGCCTTGAGGATTCAGAATCGCTTACAAGCTCAGACATGGATCTGTGCATTAGGAAAAGTTGACCTGATTTTGTTATCATGAACATGGGAGGTGAGACCTGGCTTTCCTGAGAAATCCTGGTAGGCTGGGTTAACAGGGTCCCTTTCGCAGGCAGCATCAGCGTGCTCTCTTGATGTGACATCTGTCATATTGCATTATGTCAGATGCTGGAGAAATCATGTCGAAAATAATAGAAGGTGGAACTATTTCCTGGTTAAATGCAATGCGACACTTTACACTTTCAGGTTTTCATCATAATTGGTTAAGCTTCAGAATATATTTAGCATTGTAGCCACAGGGTATCCTTTGTGTAAGTATGAACAAGCAGATCAGAAAGTGGGGCACTTTATACCAGGCATGTGAGGATTACAGAAAATCATTCCAAGTAGTGATGCATTTCCCTGCTTAATTTGGTTGCTGTTTGTTTGCTTGCTTAGATTTGCCCTCATTGCTCTACAAAGGAGCTCTGTGTCCTTTCAGAACTATCAAGATCTGCCTTTACCCAAATCATGTCACTCAAAGCCTGCAAACCTGTGTTCACTTACCTGGGAGTAAGTCCCACTGAACTTGATGAATTTAGTGGGACTTACTTCTGTAGCCACGGGACGCGGGTGGCGCTGTGGGTTAAACCACAGAGCCTAGGACTTGCCGATCAGAAGGTCGGTGGTTCGAATCCCTGTGACAGGGTGAGCTCCCGTTGCTTGGTCCCTGCTCCTGCCAACCTAGCAGTTTGAAAGCACGTCAAAGTGCAAGTAGATAAATAAGTACCACTCCAGCGGGAAGGTAAACGGCGTTTCCGTGCGCTGCTCAGGTTCACCAGAAGTGGCTTAGTCATGCTGGCCACATGACTCGGAAGCTGTACGCCAGCTCCCTCGGCCAATAAAGCAAGATGAGCGCCGCAACCCCAGAGTCGGTCACGACTGGACCAAATGGTCAGGGGTCCCTTTACCTTTTTACTTCTGTAGCCGCATATAGGATTGTGTTCTGAAAGACCTTCCTGAACAACTACTGGGTCACTATGTAAAAAATATTTTCAGGTTTCCCCTTATGTTATCATTCTGCATTTCACAAACATGGTGTGTGTTTGTTCTTCAGCAGTCCTTTCCTGCTATCTTTAATGTACTTTTTACTTTTAAAACAACTGTATTTTAGCACTTTCCGAGATCACGGGGGAATATCTCCCTATCCCAGTCAGGCATTTATATATCAGGATACAGGAGTTGCCCAGGAGCAGCTTCCATTCCTCACACCCAGCATTCTAGAGAGCTGTAAAGAATAATAAAAGTGTCATGATTTATATATTTGCTCCTTCTAGATAATACTTGCCTCAAACATGCTAATATTTGATTAATGTGCACTTTCTTTTGACATCTTAGCTGAAAAGACTAAGCCTTAAATGAACAGATGGTGCATTAAATTGAATGATAAGAAGGAAGAGTTAAAGGGCTTTGAAGAGGAAAAATGCGAGAGAGACTGAAAACTATGAATTTCTCTCCATTAACAAGGACATGTGAATATATCTTTTTCTGGTTCTCAAAAGGGAAACTACTCTTTAATTGCTAGATTTCAGTATTTGCAGCTGTGTGTGGTAGAACCTATTTTTAATGAGTCTTGGAACAAAGCAGGCTTGGTACAAAGCATATAATTAAGTCCTCAGATCATCTTCTTCTGAAGTGCCATGTCCTAACCTCAGAGAATGATGGTTGTGTACTCAGTCACAGTGCCCTTCACATCTGAGTCCATTCAAAAGACTCTCAGCTGGTGTCCTACTGAGAAGTATGGGACATGTCATTATAATCTAGGTCAGTCTCCTTGTAGAATCCTTCACACCTTTAATTGCACCCAAAATGTTGACTTTGGCTTGGCTAAGATGAAGACACTCCCACCCACCCCCACAGCTATAGCTACAACTTGATGCCTGGCTTTTCACACTGAACCAGTTACCACCCTCTTAGAGTTGGCAGCCCCACATAGTCCTGCCCAGTGATTATTATGTTCTTCCTTAAACTGCCTGCAAATAAAATAAGGCAGCTGAGTGGAAGGTGTTTGCAGAATTCATCCACATTCTCTTAGTTCCCCTTTGTATATTCGAAACATGTGTTGGTGACTCTCTAACTTGACCCACAGAGAACATCTGCAACTTAGTGGTAGAGCATCATTTGCTTTGTATGCAGAAGGTTTTGGGTTCAATTCCCAGTATTTCCTGGTAGGGCTGGAAATGCCCCATGTCTGAAACCCCTGAAAAACTTAGCAGTAGCAGTAGTAATAATTTTATACTGTCCTCCATCCAAGAAGCACAATGCCCAATGCCAGGAAGAGCCTGTTGCTGAGACAAGGACTCAGCTGTTTATAGCTTTTCTTGCCCATTACAACCCAATGGCCAACCTGCATGAAATGTCCCTTTAAACAGGTGTAGTGAGGCAATACTTTTCAGCTTTGGCATAGAGGTGGGGAACTGGGGGCTGAATGCAGCTCTCCAGGCCTTTATCCAGGCTTCAGGACTCTCCCTAGGCCAGGGTTTCCCAAACTTGGGTTGCCAGCTGTTTTTGGACTACAACTCCCATCATTCCAGCTAGCAGGGCCAGAAGTCAGGGATGATGGGAACTGTAGTCCAAAAAACAGCTGGCTCTCCAAGTTTGAGAAACCCTTCCCTAGGCCATGTCCCTGCTCTCATAGCCACACCCCTCATTGCCCCTGGTCAAATTAAAGTTTGGAGACATTTCTAAATCCAAAATGGTGGGTGGTTTGCCAGGTGGTTATACATAATGTGATATATCAGGTTCTATGGATGCGTTTGGATTTTCTATACACAAAGGTGGTTATTGTTGGAGACAGCCACATATTCTTCAACCCATGCTTCTTTCACCTGTGGATTGGGGCTGCTTACAAACAGGTAATTACTACAAATTGGACTGGACAAGCTTTCAGAAGCTACAGCGATAAATTGTGATTAGAAGGTTTTATTGGTTGCTTGCTCAAGTGAGGAATTTCAATCTTTTAAATCATAGGTTGCTGTTATTTGGTTGCTGTGTTTTTAATGCATGCGCTGTCTTTTTCATTGCTCTTATTTTATTACTATATGATTATTATTTTTTAAATTGTTGACTTGTTGTCCTCCTTGAGAGTATTTGCGTTGGAGGGCAGGATAGAAATTTGCTACAGAATAAAGTAACTGTTTCCCTCCCGTTATAATGTACTGGACTAAAGAAGCAGGTAAAATTTCCTGATACTGTTCCTTGGCCAGGATATAATTTGAGAAGCCCAGGACCTCCCATAAAGAAGTCAATATATTTATAAAATGCCATTTAAAAAAAGGTATTCAAATCTTCCTTTGTAAAAATCATGTTAGTAGCTATCCTATACCACTGTAAAATAATTTTATGATGCCACTTTGCAGAAAAAAATAATGAACGGTATTATGTAAACACTAATTGCTGGCAATAACTCATTTTCCAAACTATTCTGATTATGAATTAAATCAGTTCCTGAATCCTAAAGGCAAATGAATTATTCATGCATATACATTCCGTAGTTATTTTCATTAAGTCAGGATGCTTAATCAGTTTTTTGCTGCGGAGGAGAATATTGGTTTGATGAGCTGAGGAATATCCTTTGATACAACGTTCACATTCATTACCATACGTATGTACAACATTGTCTATTGCTGAGTTAAAAATGACTGTATAATGCCCTACTTCTAAATATCAATGAAACCAAGAGTATTCAGATATACATTAAGCATTCAGACACCAGGCTCATAACGGTATCTGTACTTACCTTTTGTAGTAGTATTTGAATGAACTATATGGAAAGAAAGCAGGCTAAGGCTACAGTCCCAACCCACTTACCTGACAGTAAACCTCATTGAATTCCATAGGACTTACTTCTGAGTAAACATGGTTAAGATTGTGTTGTAAGTTACAGTTCTACTAAAATTAAGAAGTTGTGCCTAGAGTTTAAATTAAAGCTAAAAGCATGCAATCACATATCCTTTTTAGGTTTGCTTCTACAGCTGGGGTGGGAAACCTATAGTCTTCCTGATGTTGTTGGGCTACAAATCCCATCATTCCCAGCCAGCATGGCCAATAGTTTGGCAGAATGGGAGCTGTAGCCCAGCAAGATCTGGAGAGCTGCAGGCTCCTCATCTATGATGTGGGGAAAGGCAAAATCGTATAAACGAAGTGCTGTTCTCTCATTTGTTAGCCTTATTGAAAATTGTGTTATATAATACAAGTGCACTGTGTCAGCATCCAACAGATAGCGGCTATATTACATTTTCAACACCTACATTTTGTGGGGATTCTAGTCTGTGATATATTCATGAATAGGAACCCTGGAAGGCCATGAAGACATCACACGTGGCTCATCCCAAGAAGCACCTCTAGTCTTCTGATGTAAAAACATAAGATGGGCCCAGCTGTATCAGACAAAAGGCCCGTCTCTTCCAGGGGCCAGCCTGATGCTGATGGGAAGCCTACAAGTAGGATACAAGGTTAGAACCATTTCTTCAATCTGGTTTCTTAATTCTTATTGATACTTGCATCCACCTATTTCTAAGACGAAAGATACTGTCAGCTGTATAATAAAGCCAATGTTCAGTAGTGTGCAGTCAGTGGACTGGGGGGACTAGCCTAGTCCCCTAAATGTTCCCAGAAAATTGGATTATTAAAGTATTAAAGCCTGGTGTCTGCTTCCCAAAGCCTGGGAAGCTTCTGCCCAGCTCAGGGACGGAGGCACAATGCTCACACACATTATGCTTGTGCCCCCAAATCACCCCCACAAGCGGGTGCCTCTGGCCCTAACTGTTCCCCTACAAGAAATTTCACCATACAGCACTGGTATTATTCATGCTTTGGGGGCAGAAATGCATTTAATTTCATTTTTCTCCTGGCTTCCATCACCATCATTTTATCTGTATGTCACCTTTCCATAGTTAAAACCATGCTCAAGGAGGCTTACAAGATGACAAGATTTACATAATTTCAAACATAACTAAAGTCATAAACAATAAACAGTACACAACCAAATTGAAACTACAGTGGTACCTCGGGTTACATACGCTTCAGGTTACATACACTTCAGGTTACACACTCCGCTAACCCAGAAATAGTGCTTCAGGTTAAGAACTTTGCTTCAGGATAAGAACAGAAATCGTGCTCCGGCGGCGCGGTGGCAGCAGGAGGCCCCATTAGCTAAAGTGGTGCTTCAGGTTAAGAACAGCTTCAGGTTAAGAACGGACCTCCGGAACGAATTAAGTACTTAACCTGAGGTACCACTGTATTTACACATAAACATTCTAGTAAGATCTAAAAATAAAGATACAGAGACTAATATTAATAACATCAACTACTGCTCTTAACAAAACACCCGAAACAATATCACAGCTCAATAGTCTGTTCAGCAGTTTTTGTAGCTGGAGTCAGTCAGTCAGGGCCCCACCCTCCCAGGCCAGGTGGGAAAAGGCAGGGAGGCAGGGAGCAGATCTTCCAGGGCTCACAACCACACAATGTTTTAAATAAATATACTGTCAGATCTAGGGTACCAGAGTCTGGTTAGTGAATGGTAGAAATGAATAAACGGTAGTAGTTAATGTTTGGGATATGGAAGGAAAATACAAGCTGCAGAACTGTGCCAGACATGAAATTTCCGGGTTAGCTCAGTATATATATTGTGAATAAGACACAAAGAAGGTCTGCACTGTGCCATCTTAAAAACATTTGACTCCTAATTCAGTTGTAACAACACGAACAGGAAGCTTTTTATTAGCAAACATGCTTGTTCAATTAAATCATAGAAAAGACAAATGTGGCATTTTTCCAAACAGCTTTTGAATGCTGGTTTCCAAGCTGACAAATGAGTGAGTCTATTTCCAGTAGGAAAGGCTATAAGTGAGGATGTTGGATTAAAATAAGACCAATGAAAATTCACAGAGAAAACGTCCCTTTGAGAATGCACCGGAGATTCAATTGTATGGACATTTCATTCCATTAGCGTCTCGCTTCCAGAAGACAATGACATCAGAAGAGCAGTAAAGCACAGAGCCCGTAAGGCTATCAGCTGGGCTGCTAGGAACCACTGTCAGGAGTAATCTATCACACCTTAGTTATCTTTCAAGACTGTCTGAAAAAGTAAGAAAGGGGTTGGGGGTGGGGTGGGGTGGGGGGACTGCTAGCACCAAGGACAAGGTCAGCTGCGGATAAAACTATAATAAGTCCAGGTACAGCCCATAGAAAGCAATGCAATTTTACAGATGCAGTGCTTTCCCTTCTGGGCGCATTAATCATGGCTTCACGTTGCTTCCACAAGCTGCAGCAGAGACTTGATCAAATGTAAAGCATTGATGTTGCTGCCTACGTATGTTAACTTCTTAAGACATTGTTTGGTTTGGTTTTTAATTAGGTTACCGTCAAGCGAAGCGGTTGCAATGAAATGTGTGTAGTAGCAGAATAAAAGCACAGGAGTCCTTTAAAAGATGCACCATAGGGTTCAATGCCCTTTGATTTCATTGATTCCATACTGAGCTGTTGCCCAGACAGCTGCTTTCCACTATGCTGCTTGAATAATTTAGCATTAAAGCAGGTGTGGGAAACAGGCCCACAAGCCAGACCTACATGCTTGCACCAGATTTTTCTTCAACAATCCTTCCACAATCTGTCATTTCAACTATGGTGCCAACATGCTGACCCCACTAATCTTCCACGATGCTGTCTGGACATCTGCAGATGAGCATGGGGATTGGCACCATCTTTGGGTAGCTGTATTTGAAAGTGCTCATAGCTCACGCCTGCACAGATTGTGCTCTCCTAAGGCCAACACAGCCCACCAGCTGAGATCACAGCAATAGGAGGGCTGTCAAGGTCCAAGAAGACCACAAAGTACATGGCTGACTTTAAAATCATGGAACAAATCGTGCAGGTCTGTCTTAGACGCACCATAGGTAAAGGTAAAGGTACCCCTGACTGTTAGGTCCAGTCGCAGATGACTCTGGGGTTGCGGCGCTCATCTCGCTCTATAGGCTGAGGGAGCCGGCGTTTGTCTGTAGACAACTTCCGGGTCATGTGGCCAGCATGACTAAGCCGCTTCTGGTGAACCTGAGCAGCGCACGGAAACGCCGTTTACCTTCCCGCTGGAACGGTACCTATTTATCTACTTGCACTTGACGTGCTTTCAAACTGCTAGGTGGGCAGGAGCTGGGACCGAACAACGGGAGCTCACCCCATTGCAGGGATACGAACTGCCAACCTTCCGATCGGCAACCCCTAGGCTTTATCAAGCCTTTATTGGGAGAAACTGGCAACTCTCCCAGGCACCCGGCTTGGTCTCCTGTTGACCTCCCTGGCTGCATTCCCCAGCAAGATCCAGGCTAGGTCTCGATAGGCGATTCTTCCCAAACGTGGGAAGAACACACCCCCTCCCTCCTGCTCCCTGGCAGGGAAAGGAGATAGACAGAAATGTATTTACATGCCTTTATTTCTGTCTTTGCAGCATTACAGAAAACATGTCTGCTCACTTCAGACTCCAGCACTCAAGTGACAAAGACTTCCTGTACTTCCTGTACATACGCAAGAGGAAGAGCTCATATTACACTCTGAGCTAATTCCGGTGCATCGCCCTGTGAACTGACTGTCCCACTGTTTCCCACGGACAGTCCCAACATTCCCATCATGTGATGTTTTCAAGCTAGCAGTTTGCAGCTGCATTGCATCCATATCGTAACACACAGCACCACCCGTGTCTCAGATGCACCATACTTCACAGTATAAATGCATGTGTTTGAATTCTTGCTTTTTACCCAGATTTTGGAGTTTTTTAGCTGAAGACCTCACTAGTTTTTTTGAACCAAACACAACGCTCAGCATAACGTAACCATCCAAATCTACAGTTCTATGGTTCTGTTATGTTCAGAGTCCCTTTGGAATACTGGAGCTGAGCCCCAGGCAGCCATATCAGGTGAGAATTAATGTGTAGAAAAAGTATTCTCCAAGTTGTAGGTACATAAATGAATTTTCAGCCTTGAACATTACATTTCAGTTTTGACTTGCACACAATCACAGTCCTACTCTTGTAAATGTGCTCATTAATGTGTACTAATATTGGCCGTGATGTGTGGTGAAATTTCTTGTAGGGGAACAGTTAGGCACCAGCTTGTGAGGGTGAATGGGGGCACCAGTGTAATGTGTGTGTGAGCATTGCGCCTTCCTCCCAGAGCTGGGCAGAAGCTTCCCAGGCTTTGGGAAGGAGGCACCAGGCTTTAATGCTTTAATAATCCAATTTTCTGGGAACTTTTAGGGGACTAGGCCAGTATCCCTAGTCCACTGACACCACGCTACTGAATAACACATTTGTATATTTGGATTATACAGTCTTACCTCATGTTACGTTTGCTTCAGGTTGAGCGTTTTCAGGTTGCATCCCGCGGCGACCCGGAAGTACCAGAAAGGGTTACTTCCAGGTTTCGCCGCTCGCGCATGCACAGATGCGCAAAATGACATCACGCGTATGCGCAGAAGCGGCAAATCGAGCCCCACGCAGATGCAGGTTGCGTTCCTTTCAGGTTGCGAATGGGCCTCCGGAACGGATCCTGTTCGCACCCAGAGGTACCACTGTATGCAGAATTCTAAGTAAATCTGAAGTATTATTCCTCACTACACAGATAAGGGATGGAGAATGTCATGCCCAGGGGCCAAGCGCAGTCCTCCAAGTCTGTCTTTCTGGCCCCCTGGGCTATTCTCAAGGCCCCACTCCTCATTGGCCTTGATTTACACTCTCCTTGGGTGTTTTTATCTACCTGAAATGTATCCTTGAGCTCGGATAACACCTTTTGCATTCCTCGATAGAGGATTGAGTGTGGTGTGTCAAGTGTGCAAAAACTAGCATTCTGTACAAAGGTTAAATATACAGTTGTTGATCTGGCCACTCTTGACTCTGGCCCCTGCCATCACTGCCATGTGGCCCCCCTGGAAGATTGCCCAGAAGGAAATGTGGCCCTCAGTCTGAAAAAGGACCCACCCCATCCCTGCTATAGATGTATGGATGGTGATCAAATTGGGAGAAAGGAAACAAGTTAAACTGAAATATCCTTTCAGAGGGTGATACTGAATATTAGTCTTACTCAGTGAAGAGTAAGTAAATTCAAGGGACTTATGTCCCTTGATTTCTATGGGACTGCTCTAAGTATGACTAACACAGAATATTCTCAAGTACTTTTTCTCACTAGATGATCAGTTAATACCCAGTTTTCATGCTCTCTTCAATACTTCATTGTAAGTATTAACATACCAATGTCCTGTTTCTTGACTGAGAAAATTCATGCCCTTATGACAGCTACCTAATTCCAATCTAAGCATGAACCTTTAGCATTGTACTGCCTGTCAACCAGAGACAGGAAATCTCAGGGGGAATATTTATGAACTTATTTAAATACTAATGTTGGTAATCAGGAAACAGCAGGATGTAGGAGATACTACATAGCAGGAGTTCAAGTATAACAGTGCCCTATTTAATTGATTACTTACTTATTTCAGTTAGCAAAATGGTTGTTCCTTTTGCCCAGCCAGCTTCTAGCCCAGGCATAGGCAAACTCGGCCCTCCAGATGTTTTGGGACTACAATTCCCATCACCCTGACCACTGGTCCTGTTAGCTAGGGATCATGGGAGTTGTAGTCCCCAAAACATCTGGAGGGCTGAGTTTGCCTATGCCTGTTCTAGCCTTAAAATATGTATTTTTTGCACCATAACACTCACTTTTTTCCTCCTAGAAAGTAAGGGGAAATGTCTGTGCGTGTTATGGAGTGAATGCCTACAGATGGCAGGGGGATCTGCTGCAGTCGTGAGCAGAGGATCCATGGTTCCCCTTCCTTCCCTCCTCCGTGGCTCGCTTTGAAACAGGAAAGCGGGAGAAGAGCCGCTGAGTGGGGAGGAGAGAGGGACAGAGAGCCTGCTTGCTTTAAAGGAGCAAAGTGGGAGAGGAGAGGAGTCGCTTACACAAGTGTAAGTGGCTCCTGTCCGGTTGGCTCCTTTAAACCAAGCAGGCTCTCTGTCCCTCTCTCCTCCCCACTCAGCTCGCTAAATAGCAGCAAAGTTTTTCAGCGAGCCGGGGAGGAGGGAGAGAAGCAGAGCCTGCTTGCTTTAAAGCAGCAAACCAGGAGAGGAGAGGAGCCTTCTCCTCTTATACCCCTCTTCTGCATTATTAACAGCATCCTTCTCCACCCACCCCACGCATGTTCCTTGTCCCTTAAGTGCTTTTCCTTCCCTCCCCACTTAAAACATGGTTACAAAGCACGGATCCACATGGATCCTCAGGATTTTTGCACTGGGTCACCCCAAATTCACCATCAGATCACATGTCTGTGGCCACAGCATGAACCACAAAAATCATACATCCACTTTCGTTTATAATATTTTTTTCTTGTTTTCCTCCTCTAAAAACTATGTGCGTGTTATGGTCGGGTGCGTGTTATAGAGCGAAAAATACGGTATATATTTTAAAAAATATACAGTATAGTTTCCAGGGGAACAAAGCTTATTTTATTTGTTTCATCAAAATGTTAAAATTTAGCAAATTAAATAAGCTTTGACTGACAGATTTGTGGGGCACGCCTACGTTTTGGTGGTCTAATAGCTCAGTCGGTTAGAGTATGGTACTGATAACGCCAAGGTTGCAGGTTTGATCCCCATATGGGACAGCTGCATATTCCTTCATTGCAGGGAGTTGGACTAAATAATCCTCAGGGTCCCTTCCAATTCTATTATCTCTGTGACAAGGCAGCTTCCTTCCTGCTAAAGGCTCCTTTGTCTTTATAGCCATATAGCACAAACACGTTTTGCAGGTAAAATGCATGCTATTCCTGAAAGCCACATTTCGCTTGGGAAAGCTGGACCTGCTGCAGAGATTTTGAAGAAACAAGAATCTTGCCCCAGATGTGATCCACCTGCTGAGAGTGGCTGTTAAGGAATATCTCTGCAGCATTCACAATGGCAAAGAATAGACAGCACATTGCTTCTCTAATAATACCCTTCTCTGGAGTGTAAGCTCTGCTTCGAAGATACTCTCTCCACGGGAGTCCATAGACTGAATTAAACAGGTGTCGGCCAGTGCATAAGTAGGGACAGCAGTGTGTCTATTTCTGGAGATTGCTTGGATACAGATGAATGGCCAGGGTTTAAGACAGCGTCTTTTAGAAGGGCAAAAGAACTGTGAATTTATTGTCAAGTTACATTTACAGTCAGAAAGCAAAACAGCAAGGCCACCGCCTGGTCTATCCCATTTCTGGCTGCAGGTTTGAAGGCATCCTCACACTCAAACAGTGATACAGCAGGGGGCTGGGAGACAGCTAGGCTACAACCTTCCCCCAAACATGCTAGTTGGTGCTGTTTTTGCTATGGAGAAATGCTGAATATTTCATCCTTTCAATTGCAGTCTGAAAAGGTGCAGCTGTGCAAAACCTGCAACACATGAAGACTCTGACAGTTTGCTTCTGGGCCAGTTCACACTGCAGTACAGTCGTACCTTGGATTTCGAACAGCTTAGTTCTTGAACGTTTTGGCTCCCGAACCCGGAAGTGACTGTTCTGGTTTGCGAACTATTTTTGGAAGCTGAACATCTGATGGGGCCTCCGTGGCTTCCAGTTGGCTGCAGGAGCTTCCTGCAGCCAATCAGAAGTTGTGCTTTGGTTTTGGAACGTTTTGGAAGTTGAACGGACTTCCGGAATGGATTCCGTTCGACTTCCAAGGTATGACTGTATAAGCATGGAGAATTGGGAAACACTGGCCTGCGAGCACTCCAATTGGAGAATAGCCTTTACCAAACGCGTCATGGACTTTGAAGAAGCACAAACCCAAGAGGAAAGGGAGAAACGAGCTAAGAGGAAGGTATGTTTGGCAAATCCTCACCGTGATCAACTCCTGCCTGGAAACCTATGTCCCCACTGTGGAAGGACATATGGATTCAGAATTGGTCTCCCCAGTCATTTACAGACTAACTGTTAAGACCGTGCTCATGGAAGACAATCTTACTTGGCTACGAGTGATGACCAAAGAAGTAGTTTGCATGATTTTTTTGCTGAAATGTGGGCTGGGTAAATGTTGTCCACAATTCAACAGGCACCTAGATCTGGGTAGTCATCTTCGTCGTCCCCATCCCCACATTTCTGCCGATACAGGCTGACATGTTACCATCTTTCTCACAAAGGATTCTGTGTGTGTTAGTGGTAAAATGTTTTATCGGAGCAGGGCTTGGATTCTCATGAAGCAATTGCACAATCACATTGCAGGTCAACATGCATAGCATTCTAAACCCAGTTGCAAAGGTTTCTGCATTGCCCCTTACTTGTGCTTCAAACTTTAGCTTAATCGTTTCAGAGAAGCAAGAAAAATAGCCAAGAGGTGTGATTCAAAGCAGTTTATGATAGAGTTACTGGCAATGAGGAATCAGCAGAGCTGCAAGGAATGAGGCATCAATGAGGCAGTCCCTCCCCTCTTTCAGGTTCTTTGTGATCCCCCCCCCCCCCCAGTTTCCAGGTTCTTTGTGACACAAAATAAGGTGTGCTTCTTCAGAGGAACAAAGTAGCTTTGAAATATTTAACTGGATGGGAGTCTATAAAGGGAGCAAAAAAAAGCCAAAAACAGCTCTTTGTAGAATGCCGCAGACCTGTAGCAATCATCAGAACACAAAAACTTACAGTTTATGTGTTTTGAGGTCACATTTTGACAGCAGTACTTTCTTCCCTGCTGTGTGCTGCTACCTGCAGCTTTTCCCCATTCCAATCAGAAGCAAATTGCATCACTCCCTTTCTAGGTGTCCCTTAAAGAAAGAAAAAACAAAATGTGTGTGTGAAAGTGAATGCCCCTGACTTGGCATTGTATGGTATCTTGGTTTAAAAATTTGGAAGTTTAACTTTGGATGGCGCGGTTCAGAAGGTTATAATAAATTAAGTTAATCTATCCAATCTACCCACCCCATACAGTGGCATCCACACAGTTAGATGCCTTAAACATCATTGAAGTCAATAAAAAAAAGTGACTCATGCAGAAGTCCCATTTCAATCTGCTCAATTTAAAGGTAAAGGGACCCCTGACTGTTAGGTCCAGTCGTGGCCGACTCTGGGGTTGCGGCGCTCATCTCGCTTTATTGGCTGAGGGAGCCGGCGTACAGCTTCCGGGTCATGTGGCCAGCAGGATTAGCCGCTTCTGGCGAACCAGAGCAGCGCATGGAAACGCCGCTTACCTTCCTGCTGGAGTGGTACCTATTTGTCTACTTGCATTTGACATGCTTTCAAACTGCTAGGTGGGCAGGAGCAGGGACTGAGCAATGGGAGCTCACCCCGTCGCAGGGATTCAAACCGCCGACCTTCTGCGTTCCCCCATGTGCCCCACAAAAATGGCTCTGGGAACAGCAAGTAGGGAGAGGAGAGGTGGGATTGTTCAGTCTGGCAAGCTGAAATTCCTGTGCTGATGGAAGAGTGTGATGTTAAAGTCCTCCCACTGATTTCATCAATAATATTTATTTATTTTGTTTCATTTATTTGTGTCCTGCCGCTCTATTGACATACTCATGGTGGCCAAACAGAACTATCATTGTGCAAAAAACCAAAAAAACCCAAACAAACAGTTGCAACTGCTCAGTTCAAAATCACAGGAAACGGAAGAATCTCATGTAGAAGTTAGCTCTTGATGGTACTGCAAACTGCTTCGGAGTGGTTTGTTTTGGGTCAAAAAGCTACGTAGAACTGCTCTGATAAAGAGATACAAATGAAACCAACAAACGAACTTGGGAACTGGATTTGGCCCCTCACTTGGAAATTGTCAATAGAAGCAGCAGTGATGGTAAATAGCAGCAAGGATTCTTCAGCATCTTCTGCTGCTAGCAATTGGTTGCCTTCTGTAGCAACAGCAGTGCTGGAAAATGGCAGGTGATTCTTCTTGCCCACCACCCACTCTTTGCAATTAATGAACTTCTGTAGTGGTGATTTTTTAAAATGAGGCTTAGGACCCAACTACACACTACACTTAATCCATAGTGTCCAGCTACATCTCTTGTTTGTTTGTTCTTTGGTTAACTGCAGGCCCAGGGGAGGACAATTTTTGTCAGAGTCACAGCACAAGGGAGGGAGACTCCACAGTTCTGACCCCTGCCCCACTCCCCGCTCCAAAATACCCCCCCCCAACATGACTATGAGGCTTAGGGAGACATTTCTGTTGGCACCGGTACAGACTGCTTTTCTTGTAAGAACCACATATAATCTGTGGCTGTAATTAATTACAGAAAAACAAGGGGTCTAGCTGTATGCTCCACGTTAAGCATAACATGTAGTTTTTACTTTAAAACACTTCTCATAATTGGGGCAGAGGAGACTTAAGATACAATGACAATCCTTTGGAGGCAATGGCTTGGCTTCTTATCTTTCAGGAAATTGTTTCTCTTCATATAAAACAAAACCCAGGAGTCAATGAAGACACTAAGACAGGAGAACATTGTTTGGGATTATTGTGAGAATGGTATTTGGGGATATATTGCCCTATAGTAGGGAAGGGAATGAGCATGCAAGCCCCACCACCTCCCAGTTGCTGCCCCCATTGCCCTCCATAAGTTGGAGGAATAGCTGCTGAAACAGAGACCTTTTTTTCTATCCTAGTCTCCTTGAGCAATTTAGAACCCAGTCTTCCAAGGTTCTAAATCTAAATTACACAGGAGGCCTACAGAACAGGTGCCTCGTCGCAAGACGTTCATCTCCAACTTGTGAAAGACTATCAGGATGGCCATGGAGGTGGCATGAAGATCATGTTTTCTTTCTTTCCCGGGATTCTAAGCAGGAGAGGGTGGTTAGAATGCTTGAATGGAGTTATTGTTATATCTATGTTCTGCCATGTATGTTTCATTTTCACTACTAATTCTGAAGCACGTTTAACTGAAACACTAGGGTTTTTTACACAGCTGAGATTACCAGAATTCAGACCTCCATGCTGTCCAGGCCAATATTTTCTTCATGCATTCTGCTTCTGACATGCGCTTCTATGGAGGGAGCACACGCATACAAACAATTTTGGTTTATCTTCTGCTTCTTGGCTTGCTCATACAAAATCATATCTTTTAAAGGAATTCCTTGCATTTTATGGATTTGGTGCAGCCTGAATCTTTGAGTTTAGAGGCTAAACAAACAGAGCAGACTGCAACACATATTATCTGTTGGGATACTGCCAGGGAGATAAAGTCCATCATGGCCCCAAGCCGTCTGCCGGACGATCCATCGACCTCCCGTAGGCACGCAGTATCATCAATTAGCGACATGAGTTTCTAGAAGATTTCTTGCCACATTCCAGAGCTCATGCACACTCTATCAGCAATTAGCACAGCCAAAAGTTGCACTCAGGAGAGCATTATTTACAAGTTTATTCAGCGTTGATCAGAACACAGAAAAACATGTCTGACTGCTTTAGTGTCTGCGACACCAGAGAGAAAACGAAAGCAACAGAAAACATAAACATCCTGTGAACAGGAAATACGCAGACTCTGACTCACAAAGCCTGCTCCCTTTTAAGGTGGAACGGAAATATCCTAACATCCTCCCCTTTCCGTGTAACCTGTAGTACCTGTGGTTCAACCCAATTGCAACCTTTGTACATAAACCTTAAGTTGTTCTCTGTTAACAACCTTAGACAACAGATCAGCAGGAATTTCATTTCCTGG